CGCCCGATGGGGCATATTAATGCGATCCACCGGTGGTACACGCCGGCACTACTATTTTTGTTTCTCGCCATGGGGCGGCGCGGCGGCACGCGCCATCTGATAACACGCTGAACGTGAGCCACCGGTGGCACACGCCGCCCGATGGGGCATATCAATGCGATCCACCGATGGTACATGATGTGCGAACGTGTTAATTTAAACGACCCTGTAGACACTGTGTAGATAGAAGAAACGTTCCATCTCTTCTGGTCGATATTAGTTTGACTCGTGGGCGTGTACCAGGGTCGTAACACACAGATGTTTGGAGCATTTATGGCTTCCAGTATTACGGGTCTTCGCAAACTGCGTCTACCACGAATATTCAGCTTCCACTTAAACGCCCGTGACAAATATTTTTCATGCGATATCGAATTTCATTCTCTGCTCGTTCAGCCGAGATCGATATTTAACAAACACGTCCATATAAAAAAAAAAAAAAAAAAAAATTGTATGTATACATTCACGATGTTTCCCTTCCCTCTGTAGCGAATACTCGAGTAAATAATAGCAAAGATAAACCAATGAAAAAAGTGGTTCGTGGTGAAAATCACCGTTGATCGCCACGTCACCCATACATGGGTGACAGTCCTTTTCATTAAAAAGCTATAATACTTAATTCCGAAAGCGAAGCATCACTGAAAACGAATTCAAATGAAATTCGTGAATTTCGATGGAGTTACAAATATGAATACCTCGATGGATGTTTGATTACGTAGGTTTCAACGGCACAATTGTAATGTTAAATCCTAGCAGAAATTTTTCTATTTTTTGGCCACGATTCGCGATAAAAAAGAAACAGAATAAAATAAATCTGGACCTGCACGCGCGTCTATGTCTAGCATCCATTGCAAGTCAGAGTTGCGTCAGTAAACAGTGACTCGTGACCTCCCACGATCATTCCCATAACCCTGAATTAGAAGAATTAACTGGAAAAAAGGGAGGGGGGCACAGACGGGTAGAGTTAACTAAAACCTTCGTCGGGGTATCGCGTTTCCCACGCCGGCGAACAAAAACGAAGGGAAAGAAACGCTCGACGAGTTTGCTACTGCGCACCAAAATAAGTTTAGCACGAGTGAAATTGATATCATCGATAATTTTAAGGGAACGGCTCCGGAACACTTTACGATTAACTCCGAACGAAGCTTGTAACAGACGAATCGTAAAACCGTTTTAAAATTGATAGGTAAAAGATGAAATAAAGTTCTGTCGGAGTATACAGGGTCCACCAAAAATGTTTCGATGAAGCTTTTTAGGTATTTCCGGTAGTGCGATAGTCAGGTATAAATGTGTAGGTAAAATATGTGGTGTTATTTAACAAATGTCAAGGTGACCTCTACTTTTTTAAATAAAATGTATTTTTCAGATTTAAGTACACGCGAATATGTAGCTCACTAAGTACTGATAAAATGTGTCTAGCAGGATAGGGATAATCGGCCTCCGTCTCAATTTTCATTGCTATTATGTGCCTCGACGGCTTTTGACCTGAGACATCATCCCGCAGAGTTTCAGACCGTTACCCCCACGGTTAACTTTATTATTCTTTTTCTCGGTTACTATTTCGGATATTTAAATTCTGCGAAGACGAAAATATTCGCGCTTATGAACTGCATCTCATATATTTCGTTCGGGGTATCATTTTATTTATTAAGGGTAAAGAATAAATAATTCATGTTTCGCGAGTGGTCATTGCAAACAACCCCGCGAGTGACACCTGTCAAAAGAATCAGGAATGATGATCGGTTATTTAGCTGACACGTGTAAAAGTTTCAGAACGGTCTGAGTCCCGGAATATGGTTAAATAATTAAAAAGAAAGAAAAATCCCATGCGTACAGGGATTTTTCTTTCCCCGTGCAGCGGGACGGTGCAGTGGACTGAAGGAGAATGAGACAATGGTCAGACGCACTACGCGTACCGTGCGGCTGAAGGAGAATGAGACAATGGTCAGACACACTACGCGTATCGTTACAGCTATGCATGCGACAGGGAGGCAAACAGTTTCAACAATTTTGTAATCGATATCATAAGATTTTCCTTGAAAGTGTTCTGTTTATTATTTCTGAAACGATATCTAGACATTGCTTACAAACACGCGCTGTGCGTCGCTCGATGGATTGTAGCTTAATTGTAAACAATTAAAAAGAAACAAAACTGGCTAATGAAACGAACTAAGTGTCACGTAAAAGTCAACATATTGAACCTCGATGGATTCATTTTTTTTATAAGCTACATATCAGACTGTTGCGGTGAAAATATGCAGTTCCTGCCGTATCCATAGCAGTAACGATGCGCGTAGCGCGTCTGACCACTGTCTCATTCTCCTTCAGCCATAGGATGCGCGTAGCGTGTCTGACCATTGTCTCATTCTCCTTCAGCCCGCTGCACGGGGGGCAACGGATCGGATTTTTGTTTGTTTTTAATTATTTAAGCATGTTCCAGGACTCCGAGCGTTCTGAAACTTTTACACGTGCCAGCTAAATAATCTAAAAAGTGGCGTGCGAAACGTTTTTGGTAGATCCTGTATATTACCGTCGCTGGAGGAAGAACGAACGAGGTTATTTGTTAAAAAGTAGATATCGAATCCGTCCGAGCTGAGAATCGATTCGATAAAGCTTGCACTCGGTGCAGTGTCCCGTGAATTTAGTTGTCACGCTGCTTGATCGCCTCTCCGTTTACGTCTTTAGAAGCCCTTGGAACGTAAATCACGGAGATTTGTTGTCTGCGCGAGCAGGTTTAATCGAATTCCGGATAATGCGAGCTCTTTTCCCTTTCCTTTTATTTTATTATCCTGCCTTTCTTTCTCGTTTTACCCATCCGGGCTCAGTGTCCCTTATTTTTCTTCGATTTTTTCGTTCTGACGTGCACCGTCCAATTTTTTTGCGACTACGTTTTCCTTCTTTTCGCGTGCTCTACGAGAATTTCATTTGCTTTTTTGCTACGGCTATGCGGCGGAAAAATTCGAACGAGGATTTCCTTCATTTTCGGTTTTTTCTCGTCCGCGAAAAGAACAAACTGCGAATTTAATTTTAAATTTCGCTTTTACTTTTGTTCCGAAGTTACAATCGCCCAGAGGGCCGAATTACAGCCGACGACGGTTCTAGGTGGTCATAGATTGCAAAGGAGCGATCATTTCTTGCCAATTAACCGTTTATCAAATTTACTCGAGCCCTGTTGCAGTGCAGCTGAGTGTTATTCGATTTTCCTGGGATAATTGCGTTACGAGCGAGCTGTTGTTCGTGTCTTCCAACTGTTTTTATCCGGTACATGGTACTCTATCAACTACTGTTTACAAATATACAGTCAATCCCATAAGTGTTCCTTGTATGTCTATTGGAGACGTCTGTCTAAATTAATTTAACGGTTTGATGTTTCCAAACAAATTTTTTATTATAAACATGGGGCATGCCAAATCATTTCGGTCACTGTTAACCCCGACCGTTTTTCATTTGGCTGACATTTTTTTTATATTACAGTACCCTACCGAATACATTTATGTGAATTTTTGCAGATTTTTGTAGTGACCCCAGAATAAGTTATGAATTTTTAAAAAGAACCGTCGTTTCTTTTTTTCAAATAGCTACAACTCTGCTAAAAATTGACCGAATTAAACGGGCTTTTTTTCAAAATGTTTCGAATGAACTTTACGAAAAAATATACAAAACAAAGCGTTTGAATTCTATAGAATTTTTTTACTCAGGTTTCGATCGATTTTTGTCGGTCGTATACGCCAACAGAAAATAACTTCTTTTCTACATTTTTTCGCAATTTAACGTTGCTGCGTGAAGTTTATTTATGTGCATGTTTATAACGAAACGTTTCTTTGGAAACCTGTTTAATTTAATTCAGACAATTTTCTTCGATAGAGGTTACGAATACTTACGAAACACATTGTATATCGTCCCCAAGAACGCAATCTACCGAAATTGGAAACTAGACTGGATGATTCTTCTTTCATTCCAAAGAGAAGGGAACAGTTTGTCACGGATTTTAGAGCAGCTCAGAGATAAGAACGAAATCTGAAGAATAGAGGCTTTCAATTACAGCGGCGCGAATGCTGAATTCTGTTTGCGACCCATCCCTCGCCCATTCATTACTCTTTCTGGGTTTGAGGGATGATCGTAAACCGCATTCTCTATTGTCCCCCATCTATTGTCTCATTTCGCCGCATTGCAACTACTTTCACGCGACAAAGGAAGATTAAAAGTTCCCTTGTCGGTGTTCGCGCCAGATGAGATGCAGTTTCAAATAAAACGACCGTCGGCTTCATTTTGTATTTTCACTTTTTACGGTCTACGCGACGCAAATTTTTTCGACGCAAATTTTTCAAGATGCTGTACACGTCTTCGTGTTCAAAATTCGGATTTTCTGCGGTGCACGGTTTCAAGGCAGACGAGCATTTTTTTCTTTAATTAAAAATCATTTTTCTTTCGTTTTCTTCGCAGTTGAATGTCGCTGTATGCGCGTGGCAAGCCTATTTATGTAGATATTCGTAATGAATCGTTTATTTGGAAACGTCAAACCTGTCGTTTAATTTCAACAAATTTCTTGATTGGCTTGATTTTGTGTTTTCACTTTTTTTAAGGTCGATGCAACGCCATTTTACTAATCGGGGCGGTTACAGGGTCTGGAGGCTCGATGGATCTCCGGGTGAATCCCCGGCAATGTCCGCGAGAAACACCCTGAAAGCGACTCGTCATCAGGAATTCATTGTCCTCGGTTGGGTTGTCTATTGTCTGCCCGTGATTTCATCGTGTTCTTCGTCGTTGCACTCGGAGCATTCGTTGAACTGCATCCACGCAGAGTTTGGCGCCTGGCGCGTGGCCAGGGTTACGTAACGCATTGATTCACCGACTCTTCGAATTTGCGTGCGTTAGTGGCCGTAGATCGTCGTAGATCCGACTCGCTTACGGTTCATTCCCGCTATAACGTGTCTGATGTTCGCCACGAAAGGGCTTAAAGGTGGTCGTTCCGTGGATTTAGTTAACAAAGGACTTTAACGAACGCTGGATTGTTCTTTGATTAAATATTAATCGTACGAGCCTATTTCGATTTAAATTTATCATCCTGGTTTTAGGAACGATTGCGTGAAAATTTGGTAATTTTAACGCGGATCCTCATGGAACGTACAGATTTTCACGTGAATTTTTCCAATTTACGTCGAAATGCAATTTAGGAACTTGCTACGTTATCAAAACTGATATTATTAAACAATTTCAGAACAATGACTGACCATTTCAATTTGCTGGAATACGATGTGAAACTTTAGCAATTTTAGGAATTTAGAATTTGGGATTCAGGAACTTGCTGAAAATTTGATATGCTATCGAAACTGATAACGTAAACGTTTAAAGAAAAAAAAACGATTGACCATCCCAATTTGATTAAAAACGATATCAAAATTTTGTAACTTTGAGTTCGCTTTAATTTTCAAGTGAATTTTCTCATTTTAAATCTAAATAGAATTTAGAAACTTGCTGGGAATTTGAAAGAAATTCGAAAGAAATTTGTAAGAAATTCGAAAGAAATTTGAAAGAAATTTGCGTAGAAAAATAAGGAAATCTATTTGTACCTTTATTAGACTTAACCGAGAACTAACCGGGAACTAACCGAGAATTAACCGAGAACTAACCGAGAACTAACCGAGAAGGCTCGGTTAGTTCCCGGTTAAGTCTAATAAAAGTACAAAAAGATTTCCTTATGTTTCTACGTAGGTTCCTTCAACAGAAATATGTACATTGTGGTGGCTGACGAGTAAATAATGCTGTATTATAAAGTATTATACTGTACTATAATACTATACTTATACTTATAATGTATTACCGAGAATTTTATATAAGTATATTTTAGTACATTATAAGTATTATAACGTATTATAAAATTCTCGGTTAAGTATTACAAAGTATTACTGTATCATAAAGTTCTCGGTTAAGTCTCGGTTAGTTCTCGGTTAAGTCTAATAAAAGTACAAATAGACTTCCCTATGTTTCTACGTAGGTTCCTTCAACAGCAATATGTACATTGTGGTGGCTGAGTATTATACTGTACCATAATACTATACTTGTACTTACAAAGTTTTATAACTAATTTACTGTATTATAAAATTTGTTGGCTTCCTGTTCCAAATGTAATACACAACCAGAAGACCGTCCTCCCACGAAGGCGTTTAAGAAAAGTCTATTTTGGAGACTCGCCTTGTCGCTGCCATTTTGTACTAAAATTATGCACGCAACAATTTTTATTTGTACTTCAATATTTGTGAAATAAACCCTGTAAAAAGAAATCCTATTCCTTTTGCGATACTCTCAAAATTAATGATCAAACTTAGCAATTTCGGTTCGTGTTCCTTTTGGTGGCGATTTATGACGATTCATTGCATTCGGATTTTTCGGAATTTAATTCTATTATAAAGTTGAGAGGTGTCGATACGAATTGCCTTTCAATAACTGCGTAGACGGAGAGTCGGATGGAGAACGTGGTCGAGGCTGGCGATCGATCGCGAAAGGGGCACGGGACCGAAAAGAGATCGATCGACTGTAAATCGACGGCGAACCCTTGGACACGAGTGGAATGAATCCTGGAAACGGTGAATGGATTCCCGTGTTTGGATTGCGCCGATAGTTTCTCTGCCTCGTTTATTCGCCTAGACCGGTATATCCCTCGAAACCGATCGTCGGAAAGTAATATGCTACGAATGGTTTAAACGCTTCTCGAAAGGTTGAAAAGATTCCCGATGATTGATCAACGGTCGGAAACAGCGCGGTAAACAAGCAATTTGCAGACTCGACTGCGAGCCCATTTAACTATTCAAAGTAGACGCGGAGAGAATTAAAAGTTTCACTGGCGCGGCTCAAGTTCTCTCCCAACTTTTCGGAACAGAGTTCGTTAACGTCCAGTGTCGTGTTCGCTTCCGTCAAATCACGGGAAAGTTCGTTCTTCTCGTTGACGGAGTATCGATACGTGCATTTAGGACTATGAAGACAAATCGCTTCGAGATAATGGCTCATCGAGAATTACGGTGACTCGTATTAATATTCGGACGGTATAGCACTTTGTTTATCATTGTTACGCAGATCTAATCGTAATTCAATTTTCAGGAATAATACAATTATCCAGTATACATTCTACAGTTTGTTACGTTACATATTCGATATGGTAAAAAACGTAAGAGTTTAAACGAAAAGTAAGGCACCGGAGATTCGAAACCACGATTCTCGGATCCACAGTCGACTTACCTACACGACCAATCCTGGACCTTACGTTTCGAGTTCTCGTTTGACTCCGTATTCTTTGGTATGGGAGGCGCGGGTACTACAATAAATAAAATTTACATTTCAACGCAACAAAAAAAAAAAAAAAAATGTATAAACCGAATTATGGTTACGTATTCATTGTAATAATGAATAAAGTACTATAGTGTCCGAATATTAACACTATGCCGATGGCGCTATGGTTCGGTGGCACCACTGTGCAGAGATGAGCAAAACCCTATGCCTCGAATAACTCTGAAGTTTCCCGATGCGTTTGTTTCGTTTCCTTCTTCGGAAAATGTTCAAAAGAGGAAACGAGACAAACATATCGGCAATCTTCAGATTTATTCGAAGCCTAGGGTTCCGCCCATCTCTGGCGGACGGCATAGTCTTGACCCTTTGCACTGGAGAGGCGAGTATCAGTCATCACTAGGTTTCACGTAGCAAATCTGCCAGCAATAATGTTTCTTTAGGTTTAATTTCTTTGGGAGTAGAAGTATCAATAAAATCTTCAAAGTCAATCGAAGCTTAGCATCCGTGGCAATACAGGATGTAGAATGTATTAGGTTGTTCCGAAATTTTCTTTCGCTATATTGATAAGTAACACATGCCTAATAGTTTATGTTTTATGTTAATCAATATCAATAAAATCTTCAAAGTCAATCGAAGCTTAGCATCCGTGGCAATACAGAATGTAGAATGTATTAGGTTGTTCCGAAAGTTTCTTTCGCTATATTGATAAGTAACACATGCACAATAGTTTATGTTTTATGTTAATCAATATCAATAAAATCTTCAAAGTCAATCGAAGCTTAGCATCCGTGGCAATACAGGATGTAGAATGTATCAGGTTGTTCCGAAAGTTTCTTTCGCTATATTGATAAGTAACACATGCACAATAGTTTACGTTTTATGGTACGTTAGTGAATTGTGCACGATTCATTTTGCTCCATTGCTGTTACACCATGAATATCTCTGAAATTTGATTGTCTATTCCTACAAACACGACCACGTCAAATAATTGATTGCAACACGCGAAAAAAACTTTCGGGGCAACCTAATAGAATGCCAAGAAAGCATCTCTGGTAGATACCAGAAATTTGTTTCTTTTGGTCTCGAGTGCAAATAGTTAATACGACTCACTGTAATTATCAAAGCCGTCCAAAACGTTTGGAAACGGGTGCTTCGTAGCCTCGAGGCTTCTCGGAAGGAAGGTCCTTGGATTTTAGAGGGCGAAAGATATTAGAAACGTCATCGAACCGTACTTACCAGTGTATCTGGTGTTGGGCATGTACGAGAACACCATTTCCGTTCGATTGAACAGCGTGATGGAGAGATGGTACTTCCCGTTTGCATTGGAACGCGGCATTGTCGTCCCGTCTATGAGTCTGGTGCATTTTGACGCACTTGCGCTCGTTATCGCCGCCAACAGTAACAAAAAGCTGCGGACGACCCTTAAGCATTTCAGCCCCTGTAAAAAAGGAAGCGCAAGGTTGCCATTAAACCGTCGACTTCTCCATTCGTCCTCCCTCATCGAGGCTTCCACCACTGGCGAAGCCTAACCTCGCGATCGCGATCGAAAGGTAGCTGTACCGGCGTGGAAATTTTGTTAGGGATTCGTAAAGGTCCGAGTTAATTGTCCCGAATTCATTTCAGAGCCTATTTAGGAAATCCGTTCAGTTCCCGTAAGGCGGCATAAGGGATTGTCGCGCTTTTTTAAACGGGCCTATTCAAGGCTGGATTCTCAGGGCCTTATTATTTCCCGTTTTAATCCCGATTATAGCCCTATCGGGCCTCTGAAACACCCTTACAACAGCCCTGGACACACCCTCGCACCCTTGCATGTAAATCAGAAACATTTAAATAAAAAATAGGAATTCTGATAAATGACTCGCGAAGATATAATCAATTATTATTATAAATGTTTATCTAACAATTTATTACGTAAAGTAGTTGACGTGGAATATTTATATTTATAAATATCACAGTGCGCGCGCGCGATACGAGGGTGTATTTTTAATAATTTTTTTCGGGCAAACGATGAACGTTTCTCTTTTTATTGATACTTTTACTCGATATGTACTGGAACCCTCAAGAGGTATAACCCACCCACCCCCATGCCCCTCAAGAGGTGTGATTGTTATTCGTTTTCCAACATAAACATTATCATTGATTTCTACGATCAATACCCTGAGTAAACGTTTTCAGGTCCTCACAATTCGTTAAGGCCCTATTAAATATCATTTTAACGGTTTCTCCATACTCTGACTGTACCACACTGGTTCCCATAGTGGTTAACCCATCGAGTCCTTGTTTAAAATTATTGTGGAAATCATTGAGTACCTTGTTTAAACCCCACCGGGTCCTACAATGATTCACCTATCCAGCCCTGGTTACATTTCAAAATGGAAACCTGTAATCGCCTTGTCGGGATCTTTTAGGGATGTATCCGGGAGAATCATATTATGGATTCCATATCAAAGCCAGCTCGGGACCCGAATATTATGGAGGTTTCCCTTACTATTTTCCACAGGGGTGTAGCTACCTTTTTCTCTCGACTTCGCGATGGTTCTCGATAATCGAAAAAGTTTGCGGTGTCGAAAGTCGACGCTTAACGGGGGAGTGTCAATTAAACAACCGGTTTCTCGCGAATTATTTTTGAAGAGCGCGTAATACATATTCATTTACAACCAATTACTTGTTATTTTCTAGCATCTAGATAATCTATATAATTTTGTTTATGTAAAACTATTCATAAACGAACGAACAGCAGCTGCTTGAAGTTGGCTTCTCGAAGATGCACCGTGCAACGCACAGATCGCTCTAATTATTTGAAATAAAAAACCATTAGGTTGATGGAAAGGAGAATAGCTGAAGGGATATTTTGTGCCAAGTTTCATAGCAATCGGCTGACAGATCTCTAAGCTACGTTGCACGGCACGCGAAATTTTATGTTTTGAGAAAAATGCGTTTAAAGTTCCCGAATCTAAAATAGTCCTTCGTGTACCGTTCGGAGCGCATCACTTTAATGGCTATGTAGGTACACTTGGACTTCGAGGTTTTAGCTGAAATGGTCGGAGCACATTCTCCAGATGGTAAACTAATTTTCTAAACAAAAAAAGAAAAAAAGATGTCAAAGTTTTGAATTTTACTTGAAATTACTTTACTTTGAATTTTACTCTCCCCTTAATCAACGATTCTGTTGCAAAGTGTTGCAAAGTGTTGCGCGCCAAGGTGTATGGAGAAAGCGCATGCAATCGTTCGGTTGCGCTATGTCACGACCTAGCTTGCCAAGACGACGCACCGAGTGGTTAACGTGCACGTATAGGCGCGCAAAGTAGTACGAACACACGTTTCGTCGCACGTGTTGGCAACGCTTCGTCCTCCCTGGAATTCACGTGCTTTACACCCGAATATTCGCAATTCTAATTTAATAGCCGCGGCATCCGGCAAAATGACATTTCGTGTTTCGAGGCGGTTCGTTATCCGTTGAAAATTTGTTGTTGCACAATGCGTTATATAAAAGCGACGGGCGTAAAATATAAAATATAAATCACGTCGGCGTTCAATGGGCGGATACACAGCGTTGCACAACGTATTCCAGTCGTCGTCCAGCGTAAATATTTGCGTTAGTCGTCCCGCTTTTAAAACGTTTTACAACGATTCTACAAAAAATTCAACGAGAACGAGCGCATAGAAAATTTTCAGTGGCAACGACGGAACACTTTCGCCGCTGGGTGGACTTACGTCGCTCGTTGAATCGACCGATAACGCGATTTTCTCTTACACAATGCCAGCTGGCTTATCGTATCATCGACGTTCGCCTCGATGAAGATCTTGACCGTGGCGATCGCGGCGAATCCGTCTAACGCGGAAAGAATCCACGTAGCGACAACGGTTTCGCGAAACTCTTCGTGCTACATCCTGAAAAGAAATCTGTACGAAGGAACTTTGTTTCCTCGTATCTCCTTCGCAACTGCCGTGCCAAAGAAACGAAATCCCCTCTGTTCGCGTGAAACAAAAGCTCGCCGTCTGGCACCATCTGTCGCGAGTGTTCATGGATAAATTGGGTCAATCGGTTTCCGATCCTAATCCTGCCAGTGACGCGCCATTCTTACTTACCGCGCCGGTTCGGAACAATTCCCAACAAAACGTCGATCCGAGAATTAATTGAAACCCGTGAGCCTCATATTTCATCGTTCCTCACGCCGACGTGACTTTTAGACTTGCGCTGGGAAATGAACCGACGACACGCGGAACTAAATAAAAATCATCGCGGGTCAAAACGCAACGGTGCTCTTGACTGGACCGCAGCTCGCAGGCAGAAGTTTTACGCACGACTCCTTAAAAAACTGTGGGTGGCGGTTTTTTGAAGGGAGAGATGGGAGAAAAGGAAGGGAACGTTTCGTCTTGGTCCTTCTCTTCGACCATATATATATATATACAAAAAGTTTCAGGGTTATTTTGCCCTCCAGTGACGTCACACAGGTGATTTTATCTTTGCTTCAAAGCATTTACCTGAAGTCGTGTATATATAAGACTTCAGGTAAATGCTTTGAAGCAAAGATAAAATCATCTGTGTGACGTCACTGGAGGGCAAAGTAACCCTGAAACTTTTTGATC